TAGCGGTGGTTCCTTCTCTCTACCAATGCTCTCCACCACACTGCTGGACCTGGCCCCACCACCCAGGCACCCCAGCCCACCCACCCCACACCACACCCACTGCCAGGGGCACTGAACAGAGTGGGCAGACAGTCTCTATGGAGACCTGCCTGGTACCCGTGAGGTCAGGGCACATGGCCAGGCAGATGGGGATGAGGCCACAGGCGGGCAGGGAGCAGCACCTGGGAGTGGGTTGGGTGGGTGGAGCTGGGATCAGGATCGGGACTGCAAAGCGGCAACAGCATGGGGCTAGGGACAGGGGCCCGGGGCAGAGCCGTGAGCTGCTGGCCATGCATCCCTGCAATGGGCAGCAGTTTTGTGGGGAAGGGTGTGCAGGGAGTGGATTGCGGCTCTGCTCCAGGCCCTGGCCTTGTGCTGTCACCAGTCTGCAAGCCCAGTCCCAGTCCTGGCTCCAGACCTTCCTACCCATCCCGCTCCCAGACACCACTTGTGGTCCCATCCCATCTGCCCAGCCAAGCATGCCCTGCTCATGTGGGTCCCAAGCCGGTTTGCTTGGAGACCCTGGGATTGCCAGGTGGTGACAGCGTGGGGCTGGGCCCTGGCCCCGGGACACAGCTACTTAGGGAGTTTTGGTGAGCTGTTGTGGGGCAGGCTGGTGGTGCTGAGCCAGCCTGGTGGGGGTGGTGCTGACCTGGCTTGCCACACCTCTCCAAAACTAGCTAAGCGGGCCTCCGGCCCAAGTAATTGCCCACCCCTAAACTAGATCATGATATATTCTGGAAAATCTGGATTTAAAGACTTCAAACAATGGAGAATATAATTTTTTTAATTAGTAAGAACCTCTCATAACGCACAATGAAGAACTCCGTTTATCTCCCTTGGATAAATGAAGGGCTGATTTGGCTTTGCTGGGACTTGAACCCATAGCTACTTGATTACTACAAAGCCGAGCTTGATTGTTTATATGACGTTCATAATGTATAAAGGCTAGCATTGAAGCGCATATACATTCCAGTTGCCTTTTTCAGAAGAGCAGTCCCTGTTCATTATGTCATTACTACAAAGCTTCTTTGTGATTTTGATGCAGGAGAACAGAGTTCAGTGCCCCAATCATTCAGAAGTCAGTTTATGGGTAAAATACAGATTAGAGAAAAGAATATGCTTTTGTGGATGCACACTCTAAGAATGCGTACCCCTTCAATCATTGGGCAAAATGCTGATTTTTTTAATGGCTGTTTAACAAAATGTATCCCTTAGGACATAATGAACGTTTGAACAACAAAGATATATTATAACAAAATATTTCAGACTGCTACTTTGATGTATATAATTTGTGAATTAACAATAGACTTGCTGGGCGCTGCATTAGGCACGAGTCTTAGGCAGGTCCCATGACCATGCTTTCTAAAACAGCGATTCTCTTTCCATCCTTGTTTCCTCCCAATCCCTGCTTCAGTCGGCCGCACTCCCAAATTCTTTCCGTTCTTTCACAGGGAAGTAGGGTGGTCAGCCTCACGCGCAGCACACCTCCGGGCAGTCTGAGCTGTTTCCTGGTTGGCAGAACTTCCTGAAGCCCACCCTTGTCAGACAGAGGGGGAAAATCTGCTGCTGACTCACATATGCACATTAAGGCACAGTGGCCAAAGCCTGAAAGCTGCAGGTTCCTTTGCTGTATATATACCTACATGCCTAAGGTGCTGAAGGAGACCTGTATAGAGACCAATTCCACTTTGCTTTGGCTCTCCAAGATCACACGAGTTTCTGGTTTCATTGCACAAGTATCTTCTCCTGACAATGCTTTGGGCTTTCTATCTAGTGGTCGCACAATGAGATTTGTTCCTGAAGTTTTTAAAGACCAGGCTGGTCAAACAGCCTGGAATTGTTTAGACCAGGGATGACCAGGGAGGGGAGTACAGCGGTGCAGTTGCACCCCTCTTCGATGCCTACTCCACCCATAGCCATTTCTTGGGATAAAGGCACACCTTGTAGGCATCACCATACTGGTAGATCTACCCCAGTATCATGTCTCTGGTAGTGGCTTCCATGGGAAACTTCAAAGGAAGATGCATGTTGGTCTTGCAGTTAGTCACAGTGATCTAATCTGCCTCCAAGTGAAAGTCTTGTTTATCTCCTCTTAATTAATCCCTAATTTAAGAAAATGCAAGGGAAAACTGTAAGGATATTATCTAATTATTGCTCCAGTTGAGGTTTTGCATGGGACTGGAGAAAAATGAAAGCCAAAAGTTATTGACAGTTTTCAAAGAGCTAGAAGAGTTCACTTGAAATATGCATTATTTGAAAAACAGAAAACATTTTCCTCTTCCAAACACTCTTGGCCTTGGTTTGGGGTTACAGTCCTTTTGGTGTGTGTTTACTAAGCAACTTTGATGGGAAGCATGAGCACTGCAAACAGCTCCATCCCCAGCAAAACCTCACAGTGTGTCATCAAAGCGGACTAAATCCAAGTAGCCAGCTGCAACTGGAGGCTGTTGCTGCATTATCCTGCAGGGGTATTCAATTGCTGGTGGGTTTCCAAAGCAAATGAAATATTACCCATCAAAGCATGATTTCCCTGCCCCCCCGCTTGGTTCACTGAAAAACATTACAGAGCAAGATGAGGAAAAATAGCCTATAACATTAATTATCTCAGCAAGGATGTACTTATTTATTTAAATGTCATTCTTATGCAAACTCCACACCAAAGGAAGCCCCTCCAAAGCTCTGGGAGACCTTGATGTACATTTAAAAATCAGAATAATTGAGCAGGAAAACTTAACCAAAGAAACAGCATTTTTTTTTCTTCCACCCAACCATGCAGTGTTTGATCACCAGTCATTTAACTGTTGAATTGGATTTCATTATTCAGTATGTAGTGTAAAATTGATGTTGCAGACATGGTAGTCCAGAAATTATTTGAGAGGCAAGGGTTTTTTTTAAGGTGATGTCTTTTACTGCACTTGACTGCATCGTTGGGATTGAGTTAGACTAGCTTTCGAATGCAAGACATTTTTCATCACGTTTTGCATAATTCCCAGTCTATCACAGCTACAACATCACTCTTACCCTACCGTAACATGGAAGGTATTGAAATCCTCCGCTTACAGTGGAGACCCACTGAAGAGTATCTTGTATGCAAAAGCTTGTCTAACTGTCCCAACTATACAGTTAGTCCAATAAAAGATATCGCCCTAAGAAATTCTTGCCTCCTGCTTTATTAAGCAGTTAAGAGAAGGGTTTTCCTAGAGAGGACAGGAAAAAAAACCCACTCTTGAAATGACTAACTTTTTCTCATTCACTAGGGTACTTTACTAACATTAAATTAAACACCAAGAATTTAAACCCTTCATCTCTCTAAACTCTGGGTTAACATTATTCATCCTTTTTTAAATTGATTTTTATAGTTCTGTTATCACTATAACAGGGGAAAACCTAAAATAAAGGCTGAAACGAGGGAGCGGCGGAAGAAAAAAAAATCACATGATCATATACAGCAGAGAAAACTTTGCAGTTGAATCATTATAGCAGGGTACTGCAGAGGTGAAATGTCTTGGGTTATGAGAGAGGCACTTGGCATTTTACAGGCAAGCTAATTGATGCCATCTTAAATTATACTTGGATCATCCCATAGCTTTTCAGTTTCCCTTCAGCCTCTCCCATCCTCAGGGATTTCAAACTTCTCCACAAACCGTGGGCCCGTTCTTGTCTTGTTGCTGTGACTGCTGCTGAAACAAGTGGGTTTTTGCACAAAGACTGCTGGAGCAAGGGCAGCACCAAGACACTGCACACAGGGCAGAAGGCAGCAGTCAGCTGGTATAATACACTTCAGTCAATACTGGGAGGGATTAGGGCAGGAGGAGATTTTGCCCAAGGACCCATGGAAAAACCTTGTAAGGAAAAGGTCACCGAGTCCTGACTGTCCCTACAATGATGATAGGAGCTTGCCTTTTTAAGGTTTCATGTAACAGAACCACATAAAATACCCTGTATTAAAACAATAAGCAACTTCTCTATCTCGGAAGGGCAGATTTGAGCCACGTAGCGTCGATGTCTTGAAGGTCAGCTTCTTTCTGCTTTTAGAACAAAGAATAAAGGGCAGAACTGAGCCAAAACCTTGCATTTATACGGTTTAGCATCAAACCCTGGGTTTGAATATAGATTTTTTTTTTTCTAATGGCAAATCCCAGTCAGCTGAATTCAAATCCCAGAGCCAAATCATGCAGCAGAAATGGGCCAGGTTTCTACCTGGAGCTCAAGCAAACAGCCCATATGACCTAAATAAGCCTCGTTAATGTAATTTTGATAGCTGATGTAACAGACTGCCAATGCGGGCTCACCAGATTGGCTTGAGATACTTACCCGAGGGTAGAAACAGTGCCGGTGAACTCGGAGCGACCCCAAGGGTGGAGCAGGGGAGCCCTGCCCTGTGGAAAAGGAGAAGCCGATCTCAATCCCCACATTTGCATGGAAGGGGGGTGGCCCGGGTTGGGGGCCCGCCACCCTGAGCCCTGGTCGGCCGGTTTGCAAGCCAGGGAGGGACTGCCAGAGGGGATAAAAGCAGTAGCCGAACTGGCATGGGGGCTGCTGACAGTGACTCTGGGGAACGATGCAGGAGGCCTAAGAAGAGCTGGGGAGAGCTGACCCAGCGGAGGGAGCAGAGACCCCTCTGAAGAGCCTCAAAAGCCCTGGGAGAAGGCGGCAGTGGCAGTCGGCTGTGCCTCCAGCCCTGCAGCAGAGAGGGAGCAGCGGCCAGGGCTTGGGGCAGAGAGCTGGTGCTAATATTATTAAGATTTAAATAGTTTGCTTTCCTATTACAGGAGGTGGAAAGGTAGAGGATTTTAGCTGAAAAAGTGCAAGATGATGATCCAATTCTGAAAGTTACTGACCCACTATTGTAGGGTTGTGAGGCGCTCCATGAAGTTGAATGCCTGGGGCGCTATCACTTCAAAATGGCTTTGGCTTGAAGCTCATGTGTTTTTATTTCCTTTCTTCTATTCCTTTAGCTCATGTGCTCCTCAGTCCAGAAAGCCCTCTTTGAGGAAGAGGACAGGGTGAAGAAACTGCAGCAGAAGGTGGCAACCCTGGAGAAACGCAACAAGCAGCTGCGAGATAGGGTGAAGAAAGTCAAGAGGTCCCTCCGGCAAGCCAGAAAGAACAACAGGCACATGGAGCAGATGAACCGAAAGCTCAGTGAGAAACTCTCCTCCGCAGGCCAAATCCCACACATTAACTCTTTAAAGCAAGAGAACTCTCATGCTACCTACCTTAAAGTATAATGCAAACTGCAGTGCGAATGCTAATGATATTGGTGACCAGAGGCCTCATCCCACATTTATCATGTACTCCCGGCGGAGTCTTGCCTGCATTAGAACAGGATTGGGCCCATACACCTTGTCTACACTGGGCTTCAAACGATGTATGAAAAAAAAATTGAGCCTCACTTAGGAACGGTTCTAGATAAGGAGGATCCAAACTAGATTTGACTGGGCACTGTAGACAAAAATCAAACTGTCTTAAGGCAGCTTCTGGTGATCCCCTTCACACCTTACTGGGAAATATCCTGGAGAGGATCATGAACACATTTGGGATCTATTTACTCTGCCCAGCCACATAGAGTTTGAATGCAGATTATCTGGATCAATTGCTAGGCTCTAGTCCCAGTCCCACTGTTAGAAGCTTTTGCAGGGACTCCCCACGGGAGTTGGAGCAGGCCTGTGGAAAGGTATTTCAGATCCAGTTTGCAAGCAGGCTTCCACGGCAGCGTAGACAAGGCCTCCCATTTTGTAATCACTGTTTTGAGGTATGATGGAGGTTGCTGGGCAACCTTGGCTTTGCTTAGATACTGTAGAGATTGCGTCAATATCAACAGGGCATTAAAATTAAGGTAGTTTATATATGTATATATTTTTAAATCCTATAGAAAATATTTTTATTACACATTTGATATAGTCTAATTTCTTAAAGTATGAAGTACATTCTGTTTCTTGGTTATCTCATAAAGACAAATCCTCCACATTTTGTGTTAGGCATTGCCAAGACAGATTATTAACTGCATTATTAAAATGGCTTGGATTAAAGCAACAGTCCCACTGGCTGGCAGAGTATACCGTAGGTATATATTTTGGTGCATGGATTGGCTCTTGTTAGCCAAGTGATCTCCCTTTGTGTCAACAGTAGAGAAAAAAAACGGTAAAGGAAGATGTTCCAAATGTTGTCATTTTAAATATTTATTTTATAACCAGTTTAGTTGGCCTTACTACAAGTACACTTAATGCATGAGGACAGGGGCAGCCAGATTTTGCCCAACCCAGGGCACCGTCGACAATTTGCCAGGGCTACACCTGACTTGCATAAAATGGACCACATTGCACCCGACCTCCCATCGGTTGATGCTTGCCACAGAACTACACATCCCAGCATGCAAAGTTCTGCCTGCCATAGTCTTATGTGATCACCCCAGGCACAGCATGCTGGGACATGTAGTTGCCACATTATCACAGCCTCGAAGAGGCCATGCTTGGCTTTGTCGGTCCTTGCATTAGGACCCAGCAGGCATCTGCTCTTACATTTATGCAACCATTTGCTGGAATCCCAAGCTGAACTCAAAGGTTAACCATTGCTTTGGTTTTTAGGAAGCAACTGAGCTTTAATTATCTTCCAACTCTGCTCTGGTTGGAAATAGCAGCATATTTTGTTTCTCTTGAAATAATACTGGCTGGCATCTCATAAGAGCCTCACTCCTCCACAAGCGGCAGCAGCTTCAAAGTGTCTTCCTGTTAAGTCAGCACAATTCAAGTTGAGTAGAGGATTTCCAGAGAACTGCTACAGACTTGAGGCTTCCTTAGCTTTCTAAAAGCCATCAGTGGGTTTTTACTCAAACATAAAACCCGTAGGAAAGTATCTAGACTTTGTTTTGTTCTGTTTTTAAACTGCTGTTTAAATAAAATGAATGGTTTCTCTGGTATTGGTAGAAACCTCTTGTGTTTAATATTTTTTCAATAAAACTTGTCCTCTCTGTTATTCACTTATGTTTTAGAAAGAGGTTTGAGGGCAGATGTTACTAAGAGAACTTCATTTTGTCTTTGTTTTTTTCAAGGAAGAAAGGGCTTTTGATCAAAACAAACGCTTTCACGGAAAGTCTTCCTTTTTTGGTCCTCTAACAAAAAATTGGAATTTTTCATTTCAATTTGCTGAGCAAAATTCAGTTTTTTTCTTTGATTAAGTAGTTGTTTCACTTTTCCTCTTGGGGAAGAAAGTAAACATTGGAAGGTACATTTCTGTGGAGACCAGAAACAGAAATGCACGTTGCAAATCTGTTTGAATTTCCCCGCAAACCAAAAAAATGGACTAAGCAAAAACATTTTTGTTTCTTTCGAGGAGATTTTTGGGGATAGCTCTGAAGATGTGATTCATCTGTCTAAATACTAGACTCAGAGCCAGGAGCTCTTTGAGTTCTGTCCTGGGCTGCACTCTCTCTGGAGGTTTTTGTTATTTGATGCAGACCAGGATTTTCAACAAAATGCATGTGCATGTTCTATACCCAGACATGTCCGTGCAATTACATGCCTTGTTAATGTGAAGTGATTTCATTTATACATTGGATCCTGGTAATTAAAATGCACCTGTTGAGGCTGCAATCATAGTATGCCTGAGCCATAGAGCTTGAGGCAAAAAGACTGTTACGGCATCCAGCCTGATCACTTGCATAGCACAGGCCTTTTATTTGCAACACATAATCCCTGTACAAAATGCAGTCTTATGTAAATGACCTTAAACTACTTGACTCTCCCCGTCTGTAAAATGAGGATACTCTTTACCTCAGTCACAGAATAATGAGAATTATGGCACTTTGAATGGATTATTTGTGGACTCCATCAGCATGTATAGGTGACAGGAGACCCACATTTCTACACCTATCACTACTTTCCTGGCTTGTGCAGCATGACTTGCATTGCTTGAGAGGTGTATTACTGTTCTGAGTAATACAAGCGGATCTAATTCAATGGTGCTCAACTGTTTAGTGTGGCGGGTCGGAAGAGTGACGAGGGGTCCTGTCCATGGACTGGATAGGGCCCTGAACCACCTCTGCTCAGCTCCACACCACAAGGAAGGGAGCCCATGTTGCCTCCCTTAGCCCTCCGCTATGGGATGAAGCCCCATGCACCCCCTACCAGTCACCTATGACCCTTTGTAGCCTCTCTTATTCAACTCCTCATCCATACGCACTCAACCAAGGCTCTCTCACTGCTACCTTTCATGGTACATTCAGCATTTCAGCTATGTTAGACTCCCAGTCCTGCTAATTTGGTCAGTGATTCACAGTTGAGAGAGAGCCCCCTGTGGAAAAAAAGACCTTTTAACCTAGAGGAAAATGTACTGGATTGGAGCCAGGAGTTGCACTTGTACCCAAAGTACAAAATGAATATCAGTCGGAGAAACAAGTCGCAGGTTTAAACCCCACTGACCTGCTTTATATTATTCACCCAACTAGGAGCCCTAGTCATGGATCAGGCCCCCCCAAAAAGATGATGATGAAATGCCTGTACACAATAAACTCCGTTCATCAGTAACCTGTGTAGATGCCGACAGCAGCATGACTAGATTTGAAGACCAGCATTTCCCTGACCCCTTCCCTTGGCATCCCAAACAGAAGGCTATACTCAACCCCAGGACACAGCCCCTTCCCAACATCTGCCTCCAACATCTGTACCAGTCCATTTTGTTTATATGGTGAGGAAGGAAAAACAGTCGGGCGTTTAGAAAGCATGGCATGACATGGAGCAAACTCCCGGGATTCTTCAGGTTGGCCATTGCTCACCTAGGCCTGTGGCTTGCGTGACTTTTCCAGCTTGACGGGGACATCTCTAACACAGGGCTCTAGACCTCATACACGATCTGGCCCCTCACTTGGGCAAGGTGACACTTTCCTGAGATTTATAGAGCATGGGTATTTACAGAGCAGAACACATCAAATGAGCTGGATGATTTTCTCTCATAAACTGCCAGCGCCCTCATGATTTAAGGATCCCACACAGGTAGCTTTGAAGGAGCCATGCAGTTTAGAAGGGAGATTTAGGAAGAATAAGCAGAGCTGGCAAATCTCTCTAGATATTAACACCAAAGAAATACAAAAGACGCAATGGTTTCCACACGTGTGAACATAAATTTGAGGAAACGGCTATGCTCGGTCATGTTAATGTGTTTGGGTTTTAGTGGGGGGGAGATGTTGATGGGACAGCAGACGTCAGTTACTTGATGCAAATTCAGAACAATTTCACTCAAATCAGATTTACACCAGTACAACTGAGCGCTCAATCTGGCCTATGCTTTGAAGATCAGTCCCAATAAAGCTAGATGTTCCTCTTCTAAGAAAACAGGATGTCTCCCAGGCATGGAGACTCTCCATTACAGGAGTCAAGGAGCGAAAGTTTTGGCGTGAAAGACCTTGCTTGGCTATGGACAGCAGCTGGGACAGGGGTCAACTGGTTCCAGAAATAAAGGAGTTGCTACATATTTCACTCTGCAGCCCACTTAACTTTAGGTATTTTAATTAAACTTTGATATTCCACCCCAAACACAGCACGTTTTACACATTAAACTATTTCCAACATCAGGTTGAGTGTGAAGTTACGCGCAACTCAGATCATACTAAATCTGTGGAAGGTTAAGCTGGGTTAAAGTTAGGATGTGCTGTGAGCAGTCACACATTAAGGGCTAATGCCATTTTTTGCCTGCACAACTCTGACCTGCTACTAGAGGCCTGGCAAGCAGAGGCATGGCTGAGAACCGGGACACTTGAGCACTATCCCTGCTCCAGTGAGGGGGGCGAGAGCTGGGAGCGGTGTATCGTGGGATGCTAGAGGACTGCAAATTGCTCATTTTATCTGCATGGAACAGACTACAGTTACCCAGACACGAGCTACGTAGGACAACTCAGAGGTAACCCTCATCTGAAGTGGCATAACCTTGAGATGCTCAGGGGGCATTTAGCATGTTACTGAGCTTTAACATGCAGCTGCTCACATTTTAAGTGCCCTTAGTATGGTCTAGGCATAACATGCAACTTCACCCTGAGCCTAGGCATGTTTCCTAGACCAAACAATAATATAAGAGAAGGCTGGGCGATTCAGCAAACATAGCACAGGATTGAGTGCCTACAGCACGGATCCACAATCTTCCTAAGGCTACAACGGGCAGAAGGTCTCCTAGATCCAACCAGATTCTTTGTACTTTATTCAAGATGAATGCTATGGTGAGCTGCAGATTAGTGCTTATTCCACAGCAAAAAACGACTTCCCCAAAGTAATGCATTTATTTCAGACACAGGGCATTATTTTAGGCCTAGATGGAAAAAAAGTGAACTCTTTCTGGTTGGGTTGGGGAGTTGAAATGGATGTTCTTCCATTTTTCTATCCCTTACAGATGGCCCGAGTCTCATTCTAAGACTGTGTTTTCAGTTGCTTATGATGTAGCAAAAGTTTAACTGATTGGGCTGAAATGTGCAATACCAGCTGCCTGCCTCAGGCTTGATATCTTTGGAAAGTTTCAGCGAAAAAAAGCACCCGGTCATTTTTGGGAACAAGACTAAGGGGAAAAAATAAGTTCTTTTGCAATGTTAGGAAAATTCTGCTGCTATTTTCTTCCTACCTGGGCCTTGAAGCTAAAGCAAACAATTGGACGGAGTGACATTGATGTCAGGAATGCTCCTTTTGCTGTCATAATGACAATTCCCTCTCCTTCCCCCCTCATTTGGCCACATTATAAGCTTTTAAAAACACAGTTTGCTAGAACTTAAAAGCTAAAATATCAGAAGAATCTTTTCTTACTGAGTATGCCCAATCCCATCACAGTTTTTAGTGCTGCCTAAACTGCACACATGCCATCTACACGTAGCAACAGAGATGGAGCAGCCCGGAACAACATCGGGGATGCCAGATGTTCTGTGTCATCGTGGACATCGTGAGTAAGGGCTGGAAGAGTTAGCTGTGACAATGAGGCTGAAGAATGGGGATACAAGACTACAGAGGAATAGACACCAGGACTGGCCAGCAAGGAGACTGGAAACAAGGAGACAGGAGGACTGGAAGTCACAGGGAGAGGACTGACAAGGAGACTGCAAGTAGGAGTAGGGATGAGACTGGCGAGATGAGATGAGGATTTACTGGGTAAAAAAGATTAGGATTAGAAGCCTAAGGGGTGGAAGCTGGTAGGTGAAGAGAATGAGACTGGCAAAGTCCCGGTGGGGAGCAGAGGGCTGGGACAGGGCCAGGTTGGGAGTGAGGTGGGGAAGAAAGGGGAAAGCTCGGGGTGCGCGCGTGGTGGGAGAGATGACCAAAAGAGTCTGCTCCCCTTGGAGCACACTCCTCCTTAGGACCTGCGTCTCACCCTTCCTCTGCCTCAGCAAATATCCGGCCAGGGAGGTTAGCTGCTCTAGTGCTGGTCTACGCAGAGACCAGCTGCCTCCTAGTGCTCTCCATCGCTCTTTCGGCTCATGCAGGAGAGGTCTGTGCAGTGGATTGAAAGGTGCCATGTCAGCTACTCACCAATGTTTTTTTAATGCAGGGGTTTTTTTTTGCATTTAACAAAGGGCAGTTACTGTTTCAGTGTTTTTCTTCTTTTCCCTAGGAGACTGCATGCCACACAAGGCTCTCGTGGAACCAAGGGAGCAGGGCATGGTGGCTGCAGACACTCTCTCATGATCATGTTATGCTCCAATACAAATCAGGGGTGTGAGCTTCATCTTTCTCTGCCCCCCTCTTTCCCCGTGTCTTCACCCTGTAAAATACGGATCCACATCACATCATTAGAGGCCCACAGAGTTAAATCTCAACGGTCCCTTTGAGATCCTTAAATGAAAGCAGCTACCGTTGGCCTGGGCATTGCCCTCTGCAAGGATCTCCATGTTTGTCACTAGACTCTTAGCTGATTCAGCTGGAACTATGCAACCGTCCCCACCTCTTGCTAGGACCTGGTCCTTTATATCCAGAGATATTTAGAGGCTTATGAAGCCTTTTGCCCTTTCATTCCAGACTCGAA